GTCTATTCTTGCAGAGGACCTGAGTCAGTTCCCAGCACCCTCATGGAGGCTCACAACCATCTGTACCCCAGATCCAGGGGTCCAGTACTTCTTCTGACCTCTGTGGGTTCCTGTATGTACATGGTGTACATAACCCACACTCAGGCACATACGTGTAGACAGAAAGTAGGTTTTAAAGGTGGGGGGAGAAGAGGCCTCCTGACCCATGCAGTCATACGAAGCTCCAGCTCTATGTTCCTAACACAGGCCTGCCTTCCCCACCATAATGGACTAGACCTCCTAAGCACAAGCCAAATAATTCCTTCTCTTCAGCTGTTTCTGTCCATTATTACCACAACAGTGAACAAGTAACTAATTCCAGGAGGTTTGTTAGTAAGGGTTCCACTGCTGCTGAACTGTAGAGTCTGGGGTCACTCCAGGGGTTCCCCAAGAATGGGGTAGTAATCATCACCAGTTCAGACTGGCAAAGATGTGCCTGCAGGGCTGCCTGGAGAATTCAACCCAACAGGGGGGAGGAGGAGAGATGACATCCACGGCCTTGAGACAGTTAGTTTCCCTCCTGACAAGGAAACAGGAAATCAACTCCTCGTGTTCCTTGAAAATTTTAGAGATCTAGAATGTCAAATACCCAACACAGATCCCATCTCCAGCCAGCTGAGTCAGACAAAAAAACAGGTTAGCATGTGCCTGGCTGAGAAGCTCACATGCTGTACCGCTTAGGGTTGGAAGCTCACAGGCACTATTGCCCACATGCTATCATTCCATTCTAGAGAGCAGATAAAAGACAGGCACAGCAATCACCTGATCCTCTTTTGAATGGCAAGATCTTTCTTCTCATCATCAGTAGTCTCTGGGCAGAACACAAATTTATACAGACGTGTCATGATGTGCTTTTCGATCTGATCCATTATCTTCTCCACTTTCTCTGGAGGCACTGGAATACACAAATGGGTGTAACAGCTTAGGAGAAGGATTTCAAATCAAGACTATGTTGTTAAAGTATTTCCACACAGGAAAAAAGTTAATTAATTATAAACATACCCAGTAAAGAAATTTACAGATATCACATTAAAAATCCCCGTTAGAAACTCATAACTTTTGGGGGGCTGAGGATGTGGTCCAATTGGTAGAGCGCTTGCCTAGCAGGAATGAAGCTCCGGGTTCCATCCCCAGCACCATAGAAACCAGGCATGGTGATACGCCCATGTCTTCTCAGCATTTGGGAGGTAGAGGCAAAAGAATCAGGAACACAAGGTCATCCTTGGCTATAATCATGTCAGAGGCCAGCCTGAATTATTCCAGAGTCTGTCTCAAATCAGGAACAAAATTACAACTTTTTAAGCTGCATTTTACAGAATTCCCACCTATTTGTTTAGCTGTTTCACTGGGACCTAACAGGAATATGGCCTACCAAGTGGGAAAATTTCCTATGGGTCCCTCTCTTATTGCTACATTGGTAAAATGCTTGGAATTCCCAAGTCTGCCGAGTGCTGGCAAATATCCATACTTCTGAGGTTTCCCACAAAACCACCATTTTCTCTCTGAAGCACATACATGCACATCATGCATATGTGAAATGCATCCCAAAGTATAGTGTCAATGGAAGGTCAGTTCCAGAGAATCTCTAAAAACCCAAAGGTCTAAGTTGGTGAGTCTCAATGTCTCTCTGCCTCAACTCCCTTAGGATTACATCATCATGAACTCACCAAAATGGCAATTCCAAGATGGGAAACTCATATAGAAAACTTCTTCTTCACTTTACCCATAATATAGGTATTAATTACTTAGGGAGGAAGACATTCAAAGGCATCTCAAGGTATGACACAGCTGTCAATGTCAGTGTAATACTTTGGCAAGACAGCATGGCATCAGCCAAACCAATCAGGGGAATCGAGGGCAGCTAACTTGAGCTACAACCAGCTGCCCCATAACAGCTGGCTGACAACACATTACCTTTTCCACGAGTCTGCATTCTTTCAGCCACATTCTGGTAAAAGTCCTGAGTACATTCTGACTGCTCCTCAATGCTTAAATCCTGGAATCAACAGACAAGAAACTGGTGAGCAGCTGAAGAGTTTGAGAACACTTCATTTCAACCAGTTTCTAAAACATACTCTCTGCACTGAGCCAATCCTCAAAGCACTTACAAATTACACATATTCTACAAAAAAAAA